AGCTCTCTCTCTGCCGCTTGCCTCTGCATTGGTGAGTGTGGTCGGGGAGCCGAGCTAGCTTGAATAAAGACTCTTTGCTTTTGCATCGGACTCGGCTGGCTCCCTGGTGGTCTTTTGGGGATCTTGAAATCTGGGCATAACACGCCATGTCATGTCATAGAGGAGCTTTGCAAGAAGACTAAAGTTGTGAACCTGGAGGCAACAGTACCCAGTGAGCCTGAGAAAGGAGAAAAATTTTTGTTCAGAGGAGGGGACAGTCTTAGAGGAAATAAGGAGATAAGGCATCTACAGTCCAAGGAATGGCTCAGCCTTGTGGAGTTGAGAGAGTGAAACTGTGGTTTGGGACAATTGGACGTTAGGAGGGGATACATTGCTGGAAGCCGGTCCATCCTTGCTGCTCGACACAGTTGCGGGGGAGTGTCCACTTCTGTTCCTCTTTCCAACAGCAGGCATAGGTCAGCCACAGTCCTTAAGTGGACAGGAGCCTGTAAAGTGGAATGTGATCCCTCCACAAGGCCCCTTTTTACAACCAAAACCCCACGTGATCACCTTGGCTGTCCTCATCTGAGCCACTGGGCTCTGGTTCCCTGGGCCAAGGGCAGGGGTGGATGGAAAAGAGGGGTTGGGGGGTAGAGGGCAGAATGTAAACAAGCTGAGAGTCTTTAGAGATTAACTTTTAGGTGTTAATTTGATTTCTCTCTAGGCATCGACGAACAGAGTGTGTGTTTGCTGGGGTTGGGGAGGCTCATTGTACTCATCTAGTGAGCAGGTAGATTAGACCTGCTTTTGCCACCATGACCCCAGGGAGTGGCCATAGGTCTGTAGGATAGGATGGGAAAGGAAGTGTTGGGAATGGCCAGGAAAGATCTTCGCCGACTCTGTCCCCACCTATGGGAACCCATGGACCTGGTGGGGCTGGACCCCAACAATACATGGTAGCCCTGGCTGGGCACTAAGGCAGAATGAGAAAAGAGTGAATGGGGGAATTTAGTAAGTGTAGAGGTAAAGTGGCTAATGGCTGTGAGACTAATCCATCAACCCCCATAATAGAGTCTGAGGAGTGGACAAGGGCCCCAGCGAATTCAGAGAGGGCAGAATAAGTGGTACTAGTGTCAATTAAAAAGGAGATTGGCTTACCTGCCACCACAGTCATTACCTGAGGCTCTGTCCTGATGATGTAAGTCTGTGGGTCCCTGTCAGGGCCTGGGCAGCTTCGTCAGTGGCCAGTCCCAGGAGGTCTGGGACTTCCAGCTGGGTAGGGAAGACCCAATCTCAGAACCCAAATAGGAGATTTTCAGCATCTCCGAATACCAAGTTTTATTTTCAAATTTATACTTTCCTTAGCTCCAGTTTTCATTCACTGATTCATTCATTAGACTGGATCCAGAGGGCAGCCATGCTGGACTGGCTGAGGCCTGACCTGGAGGGGCCAGACTACAGTCTGCTTTCCAGTGGCCTTCTCTTCCACACCTTGGGCAGGGCCCAGGCAGGGGTCTCTGGTTTGAGCAGGACTTGGCTCTGTTTCTTTCCTTGCTGCACTTGAAGCATGGGCCCGGAGGTGTAGTCCTTCACTTACCTGCAATTGGAGGACTGGCACTTTGTTTGGAGTTCATGAGAGTGGTGGCTAGGAGCTGGAAGGCCTCCTTCTGGGCCTCAGCTTGGCCTGATCTCACTTTTGATTTTGGATTTGGGACTTCTCATCTCTATTATTAAAAACCTTAAAGGTCATATTAACAAGGTCTTAATGAGGGGTTTGTGGACCTGTACCTATTTTTTGAAGTTTGTGGCATATGTCGGGGGCTGATGGGGATATAAAATGGGTGTTTAGAAGAAGGGTTCGCTATAGGGTGGTGGGGTCTTAGTTGGTAAATTTCTATAGAGGAGGACAGGGGGACATAAATGTCATACCAAGTCAGGACATTGGACTGGGTCAGGTTCCTTAATAAAGGTGGTTGGGTCAGTGGAAAAAAAACCCCCACCAGAGATGCCTCTCAATCTGTGTGAGGCTAGACATAGAGAATGGGACATGGACTCAGACTATGCCCTCAGTTCTTGCTGCCTCCCTCAGGGGTAGAATGGATGTGGGAATAGAAGAGGCTGTTGGGGAAGGCAGTCTTTGGGTGGCCTGAGAATGAGTGTTAGATGGGAAAGGCTGTTTTGGAGCTCATGTTCTCAGGATTTGGACTCTCAGGGGTAGGGGAGAAGGTGGTTTCTGGTTAGGAGGGTCTGGGTTTTGGGAATCTACTGCAGGTGAGGGAGAAGATGTATAAGGGGGTAGAGGTTGGTGGGAGAGGTGGAGAGGAATGATCGGCTTGGTTGAAAGTGTCAGAAGACAGAGAAAGGGGCTGACGACCAGTTTGAGGGGGCAATGGGGACTTTGCGAGGAAGATCTGATGGGTGGAACATGAGGAGCAAAGCAAGGGGCAGGAGCAGAGGAAAAGAAAGCCTGTACATAAGGGATCTCTGTGGCCTTTCCTGTCTGGTGGCAGAAATTATCTAGGTCCCTGAGAATGTTGAAATTGAAAGTGCCATTCTTGGGCCACTGAGAGCCATTATTGAGTTTATATAGTGGCCAGGCAGTGTTACAGAAAAAAAACGAGCTTCTTTGGTTTGATGTAGCCAGAAAGACCAAGGGTCAAGAGATTGGCGAGGAGACACCCTAAGGGTGTGTTTTGAGGGGGTTTGGATTGAGAGGTCCCCATGACAAGGGAAGGGATATCAGAGGTTGGGGGGAGGAACAAGGAGCATCCTCCTGTTCACTCACCCCGCGGGCCATAGTTTGAGGACCCCTGGCTTAGACCTTGACATCCCCTTTGTAAATTTAAATTCTTTATTGTTTAAAGTATTACATATGTCTCGTTTTTCTCCCATTAATCACTCCCGAGAGAGAGAGAGAGAGAGAGAGAGAGAGCCGGAAGGAAGGTTCCAAAGTCATCACGTCTGGAACACTGTCCCCATGTAGAAAAGTATTCCCGACCAGGCACCTGGGCTTTCGAGTACGAGAAGCAGATGGGAAGTACACGAGAAACCCTGAGGCCCTAATGCCCCTCCAGGTCACAGGGACTGAGAAAAAAGTGGCGGGGGGGAGGTAAATTGGGTCCGAAGGCCTACTGGAGGGCAGGAGGTGAAGAGATCCCCATGGTTCCTCGTCCGGCAGGGTTTGAAATGGGGTCCGGGGTGGGCCAATCAACTCAGAACTGTACCACTGAGCAGAGCCAGAGAGTAAGCCTGGGACGAGCTTCTGCTGTCCAATGTTTCCCTGGCACACTCGGGGCAAGGTCTGAGGATCGTGGGTGCCGTGCACCCCTCCCGGGTTTCGGCACCAAAAATGAAAGATCAGTCGGAGGCCGAAAACCAAGTGACACAGGCTTTATTAGAGGAAAGACCTACCAGGCTGTCTCCCAAAGGGAGGTCAGCAGCCCGTGCAGTGGTTAGAACTTTTTTTTTAAGGAGACTGAGGAAGGCACGAGGGCTTGGAGTACTTGGCAAGAGCTGGTTGGTTAGTCAAGGTATATATCCATACAGGGTGTTCCTTCTGGGTTGGGTCCATATCACATTTACAGTAAGTCATCGCCATTCCAGGGATGGGTGGGCTTAGTAATCACATTCCAGGGAAAGGTGAAACTATCAGACACTCCCCCCCTCCCCCAAGTCAGCACTTCTTCCTACAATTCTCCTTAATGCAGAGAATTCTGGGTGACAACATGCAAGCAGATAAGGTGAAGGGATATGACTTCTCTGTATGATTTATTTCACTTAGTATAGTGTTCTCTAGGTTCATTCATGTTGTCTCAAATGGCAAGATTTCATTTTTTCATGGTAGAGTCATATTCCACTGTGTAAATGAACATCTTCTCTACCCACTCATCTATCAGTGCCATCTACCTGCCCTCAGAGTCTTCAGCCATGCCAACCCGCCTCAGCGCTGTGGGTGGGATGAAAAAGAAGCAGGCCTCTTAGGAATGCCCTGCATGGGGAGGCAGGAGGGGGCTCACTGCTCTCACTCCCCCATGGGAGAAGCGTGGGCCACAGGGTTAGTCTTGACTGAATTATGCTGCCTCAGAGGAGGGGTGACATGGGGAAGTGAAACTGCTCTGCTTCCACTATTCAGTGCATCCACTCCTGGATATTTTGATCCGCTGGACTCTAGGCTCCCATAGAGGACCTCTGGTCCACAGGTGGTTGTCAGAAATGTTGTTTCCGTGGAGGGATGAGGGCTAAGAGGTCCTGTTCTGCCATCTTACTGATATTATTCTTTGAAATGGAAAGTATTTAAAAACAGAATGAGAGTGCCATCCAGGTTGACGACTACAGGTTGACAACTACAGGTGGATGATTACAGGTTGACGACAACAGTTAGACAACTACCCATCCAAGGCTCCTGACACTTAGGAGTATGAGGCACTTCATAATTTTCTGGTGAATCATGGTCCACTTAGCACAGCAATGCAGGCATCTGGGCATTTATTTAACTCTCTCATGCTCACCTTTGCGACAGCCACACTCTTGTTCTGTTTCAGTCACAGCAAGACTTGGTAAGATCTTAAAAAACAAGGGCTTTGCAGCACTGAACACGGTAGTTCACACACACTAACAATCAGTCCTCCAGGGGGACTAACCATCGTATAGTGTGGCCAGCTTGATGGAACTGTGGTGGCATAAGGAAGTGTGTACATTTGGTTTTGGAGGGGAACTTACCTCCTCTTCGGCACTTCTAACAAGTTAAGCAAGTGCTCATTGGTCCCCTGACCCAGCAGGGACTCAGGTGTAGATATCTCACCTGTTCACTAAAGACCATCCTGAGGACAGTTATTTAAGGAAGACCCAGGGCCCATTAGAGCTAACGGGGGTCACTTGCACATGTGACTTCACTGTTTATATACAACAAAGGCCTATGACACAGTCAAGCCACTGCCAACTCTCTCTACATGACACGGAAAACTCTTAATCTAATCTGTAAGATCCAGCTGATTTTGTACTTCCCTTTTCTCTGCCCCTAGCAACATGCCCTCCATGTTTGAGAGAACTACCAAGAAATTGGTCAAAGCGATCGGAGACCAAGAGTTCAGACCTGTCAAATGCTTGCTGAGTGCCACCAAGATACGCCGGTTTTCTCTAATACAGAGGAAGAAGGCTCGCTCTCGGTTTTGGGAACTACCTGATGTTCCACTTGATGTTTCCCTCATGCACATCCTTGAACCAGGTTCTTCAGTCCCAGGTATTGTCAGCCAGGGGCATAGGAGGCAGGGGCTGCAAAACAAGGGTGCAGGGAGAAGGGGTGCAGCCGGCAAGACTTGCTGAGACCCCCACCCAGGGGACCTCATCATGCCGTAGGGCTAGGACAGTATCCCTGTTATCCAGCCCCTGGGTGGATTCAAACGTTCTTAGGAGTAATTTACACTCAAAATGTTGGCTGATGAGTTAGCTTCTTGGTTGAGATTCAGTTGAGTGGGAGAGCTGGGGCGAGCTAGGGCTTAGTCATGCCATTTCCATGGCATTTCCCAGCTGTTACAGCGGGAATTCTTGGCTGACCTCAGGTACCTTGTTTGTTTCCAGACGCTGCTGTGAAAGTGTCTGCGGACTTCAGTGACACTGAGGTCATGAAGCAGCAGGTGGCTGGGAAAGTGAATGCTGGGGCAGAAGCGGGCTTCTCGGAGGAGACTGCTGTGAGCCGAGGGTCCTCCCTCGAGTACCAGATTGTTAGCACCCCACACGAAACCTGGGACAAGCTTCAGGAGAGGTGAGGACAGGGGGTGGGACCTGGTCAATGGGCCCCACGCAGAGCTCTCCTTGTGGACAAAGAGGCTCAGAATGAAGAAAATGACACCCCAAATCTCGCTGCCCTTTTGGATGTTTACCTGTTCATTCCTTCATCAAACAGTGATTAGTTATCTAGTAAGTCTTCATTAAATGTGCAGTTGTCACCTGGCTGGTGTGGCTCAGTGATTGAGAGTTGATCTATGAACCAGGAGGTCACGTTCGATTCCCGGTCATTCTTCTATTATTCAGAAAAAAAATCTTCATCGGTAAGTATAAAACCCAATCAAATTATTAGTGAACAAGTGAGACACATGATGCTGGGCTGATGTTGTGGCGTTCACTGTGACGTTCGCTGCGCCAACCAGCGGTGGGGTATCTGAAGCTGGCTCATAACCCGAATTTTAGCTCGCAAGTCAAAGCAAAAAATCGGCTGAGAGATGGCTCGGATCTTGAAAAACTCGTTAGTCAGAACACTTGTAAGTCAAGGCCCCACTGTATATTAAAAAAAGAAAAAGCTGCGGTTGTCCATTACTATGCTGTTTTGTGGTGAGACTAGAGTAATAACAAGACAGATAAAAATTTCTGCCCTGAAACGTATTTTCTGGGGCAGGGAATATGCAGTGAGTGAGAAAAATAAGCAATAAAAAAATAAGTTAAAGTATTAATTTAAGTGAGGCAAAGGCTCTGAAACTCTGTTTAAACAAAGTGTGGCTTAGAGTCTTAGAATTTAATTTATCTCAGTGCCTGTGGGAAAAGAACTTTTAGAAACAAAGATTTCAATTTAAAGAGTATTTCTTTTAAAAAATATTTTTATTGATTTCAGAGAGGAAGGGAGAGGGAGACAGCTATAGAAACATCAATGATGAGAGAGATTGGCTGCCTCCTGCACACCCCATACTGGGGATCGAGCCTGCAACCCAGGCATGTGCCCTGATTGGGATTTGACTGTGACCTCCTGATTCATAGGTTGATACAGAACCACTGAGCAACACAGGCCAGGCCTAAACAGTATTTTTATCAGTGCAAAGAAATACTAAAGTAACTAATGAAAATCCCAGGCTCTTGGAGACTGAAAGCTACTTGACCGGGCGTAGCACAGTTTCTCCTGGTGTCTTGTAAGACTTATTAGAACTAACATTTACAAAGACTTTATGGTGTAAAAGAGTATGTGGGTTTTAGCTGCAGGAAAATAAAATAAAATTTGTCCTAGAAATTTTTCAGCAGTTGAGAGGCTCCAATTTGAGGGACACTTTTTATTATCCAGCACCAAGAAAAAACGTCTGTCTGAGGTCAAGCTTGCAATGTGAAGAGAAAGGCAGTGAGACACTTTTGATAACTGGATGTGGGTGGTGCCAGGAGCTGGTGGGAGAGGGGCTGGAGGGAGGGGCCTAATTAGGTCTCTCTGTGGAGCTAACAGTTGAACTGAGACCTGCAGACTAAAGGGAGCAAAGAGCAGGAAGAAAGTGGTCCAGATGAGGGGTTTGAAGCCTGGGCCAGGACCAGCCTGGCGTTTCCAGGAGCCGCGGGAAGTCAGTGAGGTGGGAGCTTAGCCAACCAGGATGAAGGTGACAGAAGTGAGGCTTGGAGGGGAGTGAACGTCAGATGACACAACATCTTAGAAACACGGTAAGGGCCTTGATTTCTCCCAAAGGGCGACGGGAAAACTCACACTGGGGGCTGTGACCTACTCCACTGAAAAGTAATGGAAGGATCTCTCAGTATTTCCCTCCACTCTCTACAGGGCGCCAACCCAGTGGGGCCTTTAGTGGAATGAGGGTTGAGCCTGAGAACGGAAATGCAGAAGAAATCTGTCTTCAGTACTTTCAATTCGTCACATACCCTGCCCAGACCTGCATCTTCATGGCAGCCCTCCCAGCCACCTGCCAGGGACAGTTACTCTGTCCACATCCCCATGTGCTTGTCCTGGAAACTCATCCAGCACCTCCTGCTTCGTCATGTTTATCTGTTTGCCCCAACCCCACCCCGGCTGTGTCTCTAGACCAGCCGTGGGCAAACTATGGCCCTCGGTCCGGATCCGGCCCGTTTGAAATGAATAAAACTATTGAAAAAAAAGACCGTACCCTTTTATGTAATGATGTTTACTTTGAATTTTTATTAGTTCACACAAACACTCCATCCATGCTTTTGTTCCGGCCCTCCGGTCCAGTTTAAGAAG